AAATCGAGAAATCGTCTATTCCCACCAAAACAAGAAAAAATTATTTTTCTCGTCAAATCAAGAATCATGTCTTCCTACCAAAACCAATAGACTACAATTTTCCACGAAAACCAAAAATTGCATTATCTCATGAGAAATTGTGTTTCCTGCAAAAACTAAGAAATCATATTTTCCCTCGAAAACCAAAAAATCAAATTATATGTCAAAAACTAAAAATTTGCATTTCTCATCAAAACCAAGAAATTGTTTATTCCCGCCAAAATCGAGAAATTTGGCTTTTCTATCAACCCGAAAAATTGCATTTTCTGCCAAAATTGTCAAATTACAATTTTCCTCAAAAATCAAGAAATTACATTATCCATCAAAAGCCAAAAAATTACATTTTCTATCAAAACCGAGAAATCATATTTTCGTCAAAATTGAAAAGTTTCATTTTTCTCGCATTTTTACGTCAAAATCAAATTTTTTATTTTCCACCAAAACCAAAAATTCACATTTTTCTGCCAAATCCGAGAATTCATTTTTTTCCGCCATAATCGAGAAACTATGTTTTCCTACCAAAACTGAAATCACATTTTTCTACCAAAACCAAGAAATTCTCTATTTCTGCCAAACCCAAAAAAATTTGTTCTCGGTAACCAGTGGAAATGCGAATCTCCAAGCTGTGGTGGTCTGAGTTTCTCTTCATCTGCTTTCGTCTTCCATTTTTTTTTGTAAACTTTGAGTTTTTTAATGGGTCAGCAAAATAGTAAATTGATTTTATTAGTGTGTTAATAATATGTATTATTGTTATGTTTTTATTGGTTCAAATTTTTGCTGATGTGTGAGCTTATTATAACATAACGCTTTTTGCATTGTTGTTATGGAAGCATAGTTGATGATGAGTCTACACTTTCTTCAATCATATACGTATCTATCAAGCAAACACATAAGTAGAAATTTTAATTTTTTTTTGCTGTTATTTATTGTTTGAGTTTCGGTTTGGCAAAAATATAAAACAAAAATTTAATTTTATTATTTATTGTTATTTATTATTTAGGTTTGGCGAAAAAATAAAATAATTTTCTTTTTTATTTGCTGTTATTTATTATTTAGGTTTGGGCTTGACCAAAAAAATAAAACTAAAATTAACAATAAAAAATATTTGGGTTTTTGATGGGTTTAAATTTAAAAGTTAAAATATATTGATGACTTGTATTAATGAAATATTTTTATTAGTTTTTTTTCCTGAAGTGTCATCTCCTAAAAGCTTGAAAATGCTGATGTGTCAAGCCATTGAGAGACTTATGGGTTTGTGTTTCCCGCAAAAACTAAGAAATCATATTTTCCCACGAAAACCAAAAAATCAAATTATATGTCAAAAACTGAAAATTTGCATTTCCCATCAAAACCAAGAAATTGTTTATTCCCGCTAAAATCGAGAAATTTTGCTTTTCTATCAACCCGAAAAATTGCATTTTCTGCCAAAATTGTCAAATTACAATTTTTTTCAAAAATCAAGAAATTACATTATCCATCAAAAGCCAAAAAATTGCATTTTCTATCAAAACCGAGAAATCATATTTTTTCGTCAAAATTGAAAAGTTGCATTTCCCTCGCATTTTCACGTCAAAATCAAATTTTTTATTTCCCATCAAAACCAAAAATTCACATTTTTCTGCCAAACCCGAGAATTCAGTTTTTTCCGCCATAACCGAGAAACTATGTTTTCCTACCAAAACTGAAAATCACATTTTTCTACCAAAACCAAGAAATTCTCTATTTCCACCAAACCCAAGAAAATTTGTTCTCGGTAACCAGTGGAAATGCGAATCTCCAAGCTGTGGTGGTCTGAGTTTCTCCTCATTTGCTTTCGCCTTCCATTTTTTTTGTAAACTTTGAGTTTTTTAATGGGTCAGCAAAATAGTAAATTGATTTTATTAGTGTGTTAATAATATGTATTATTGTTATGTTTTTATTGGTTCAAATTTTTGATGATGTGTGAGCTTCTTATAACATAACGCTTTTTGCATTGTTGTTATGGAAGCATAGTTGATGATGAGTCTACACTTTCTTCAATCATATACGTATCTATCAAGCAAACACATAGGTAGAAATTTTAATTTTTTTTTGCTGTTATTTATTTTTTGAGTTTCGGTTTGGCAAAAATATAAAACAAAGATTTAATTTTATTATTTGTTGTTATTTATTATTTGGGTTTGGCGAAAAATAAAACAAATTTTTTTTATTTGCTGTTATTTATTATTTGGGTTTGGGCTTGACCAAAAAAATAAAATTAAAATTAACAATAAAAAATATTTAGGTTTTTGATGGATTTAAATTTAAAAGTTAAAATATATTGATGACTTGTATTAATGAAATATTTTTATTGGTGTTTTTTTTTTGCTGAAGTGTCATCTCCTAAAAACTTAAAAATACTGATGTGTCAAATCATGGAGAGACTTATGGGTTATTGTTGTGTTGATTCAGTTGTTTAAAAGTATTTTACAACAGATGCATGGTTGCATGTGGTACACGTAGTATAACTAATCTACAAAATAGAACAGATTGTAATGAATTGATCTATCATTAGTGTATCATAAAAGAGCAGATCTGATGGCTGATTTGTTTCCAAGGCAATCGATGCACATGGAACGTGAGAATCCTTGAGAATTTCGCTCCTATTGGGGTCTTCCAATGTAAATCGTCACAAGATTTTTTTGTTCTTTCACAGTTAATTTTATTTCTAAATTCAGTTGTATACACGTGTTTTAAAGATGCATGGCATGGTACACTACACATGGTATAATTATAATCTACAAAATAGAACATATTGTAATGAATTGAACTATCATTTTTTTCTTTTCTTTTTGAGTTTTGAATTGCATGTAAAATTTATTCAATTAAAAAAACCTATGTTACAACAAGTGCATGCTTCATTGTTTTAGAAGAAATTACTAGTAGCAAACCAAAGCATCAGTCCATCCCCAGACTGGTGCGTATCGAGCTGATTTTGTTTCTCGCAAAATTGTCGAGCAGTACTCGAAATCCTCATTGTTGTATCAATAATGTATTAAGAGAAGATCTGATGGCTGTTTCCAATGCAATCGATGCACATGGAAGAGTTCCAGCTGGAGATTTTCTCTGCTATTGAGGTCTTCGAAGTTCGAATCAAAACCGTCACAAGATCTTTTTTTGTTTGTTTAACTATTAATTTTAATACTAAATGCAATTGTATACAATTATTTTAAAGATGCATGGTACACATGCTTTCTGTGCTAAAGAACAAATAAAACAGAAGTTAATTAATTGATCTATCAATAATGTAGTATCATAATTCATAAAGAGAAGATCCGATATGGCTGTTACCAATGCAACCGATGCACATGGAACGTAGTCAATAGAGTTCCTGCATTTTCGCTGGGTTCTTCAAACATAAATCATCAAAAAAATCCACATTTTTGCCTTTAACACACAAAACAGATGGATTTTGCTTCTTATTGTTTCGTAAAAGTGGGGAGCTTAGGTAAGATTCTGAGACACCCCATACGAGATATGCCCAATCCTCAAAGTTGAAATAAGAGATTTATACAGCAGAAAAATACAACTACAGACAACTCATAAAGGAACCAACACAGAGCAAGGACTCGAAAAAACTATAACACCGAGGTTTTCTGACTGTATGTACGAGTCTTATAAGAAATTAAAACCAAAAGGCAATCCCGTAGCAACAAATGATTGAAAAACCAAAAGGCAATCCCGTAGCATGGCAAGTATCATACACCGAGTCACATAGAATTATTCAACCTTTTTGGTTAGTGAATTTGAATCCACATTCTAAAAGTTCAAATAAAATAAAATAATAAATATTGTGCTATTTTTAGCCCTTTGATTCGCAGTTTTGATATGTATTTTTTTCAATCACAACCATCTCAAAAATATTCGCATGTACATGTTTTTACGCGAAACGTGTTATCATGTATATCTAAACAAGAATAAATCCCGAATAATTTTTTACGAAGAAAACATAGATGATCTTTGTATACATACATCAAACATTACACTAAAAAAATATCATTCATACTAATTTCATCCCTACATGCAATTTCATAATAACATTCTAAACGTATCCAAAATCATTGATATCACACTGTGCACAACCTATATCATTTAAATAGATTTCTTGTTTTAGGCTCACTAGTTTTTTTTGTTTATTACATAAAGGTTTTAAAATACAGAAAAATAGAGTTATAATCCTTTTTTCACAGTATATAAAATGAGCAAACAATATATTTAAAGGATAATAATCAATTTTACTCAGATCTTTAATTTATCAACTGTTCACGAAAATTCATCAACCGTTTTTCTGTTCGTGTGAAGCAGTTTAGGGTTAACCAAAAAAAAAAAAAAAAAATTCAACAATGAACAAAGTATCACAATAGCAACTTTATAATTGGTCAATGTATCTTATAGTATAATAAACGACTCTTTTTTGGACTATTGGAACTTTCCACCCTATATGTCTAAAAATAATTGAATATTATATTTTCATTTATCACAATTTTAATTATATGAATTATAATATGTGTTTAAAAAAATGATGGAACGTAAAAATAAACTGTAGACATTAATAAAAAGAGATATAATATGTAATCTTTATTCAAAATATTATGTGGAATCACGGAATAACTTTACAATGATGTGGGTTATATCACTAATAGGAATATAAATGCATACATCAAATTTTTGTTGTATACTCTACCGGCTACGCAGATTCTTGTCTACTTTTACTAGTATAATACTTTACTTGATAATTTGGAAACCAAACTAATAATGTGCTAATTTATACATTTAGTTTTCTACCAGTAATATAAAAAAAGAAGCATGGTACACATGGTGTGATTGATTATGAAATTGAAAGAAAAAATGAACACGGTGTGATTGATTGATCTAATTATTAATTAAAATGCTTCACCTGGCCGCAAGAGGAAGATTTGTACTATAAAAGAGAAGCTGCACGGGCTGTTTTCAAAATGGTACCGAAGCACATTTGTATTTTCTCTGCTTAATTTCTCAAAAGCTTAGTTTTCTAAAAGAGTCGTCACAAAAGTTTACCTTTTCATATATTATTTGGTTTAAAAAAAAATGGGGAGATTAAGTGAGATTGTGAGACACCCGGATGAGATATATCCACTGTACAAGCTGAGAATGGAGATTAAGAAAGCTCAGGAGCAGATCCCACCTGAGGCCCATTGGAGTGTATGCTATCCCTTGCTCCACAGTGTCTCTAGAAGCTACTCTCACGTCATTCACCAACTCCGTCCCGAGCTTCGCGACGCCGTAATGTCTTCCTCAAACTTTGCTCAGTTTTAGTGTAATATTAAGCTTTTCGTTTAACAACAAAATATATTTAAAAAAAAAAATCTAGAGTTTTTTTTTTTTATTTATAATCTTACAATATACTTAAGCTTAATCACATAGGGTGGAAAAGATACTCCGGTAACCTAGAACCGATCCTATTCACTCTTTTTGTTACAATAAATTATGTCGATCGCATATAATATATATTTTTAACATGACTTTAATATACTGTCTTTTCTTTGTGTAGATGTGTGTGTTCTACTTGGTTCTCCGAGCTCTTGATACTGTCGGTTAGTCTCTCTAAAAACATATGCAAAATTTTCCATCTTCCTTTACTCACATGCAAAACACATTATTGAGAAGCCGTTTTGATACAGAGGATGACACAAGCATAGCAAATGAGGTCAAGATTCCCATACTGATAGATTTCCACCGTCACATGTACAATCCCGACTGGCACTTTTCGTGTAAGTCAGAAAAGAGTCTCCTTCTCTTTGGCATTTTGATTCTTTTGCATGCCCTCAGTATTTGAGAGTTTAATTTTATTCTCCATTTAACTTTAGGTGGTAGGAACGAGTACAAAGTTCTCATGGACCAATTCCACCATGTCTCTTCGGCTTTTCTGCAAATTAAAAGAGGGTTAGTTATGCTTTCTCTTGTGGTATAATTGAAGTTATCATGTTGTTACCATTTATGATGTGCTGTGTTAATAAAAGTTATTAAACATGTGGCGCTCACAACACTTTTCTTAAATTATTTTGGTAAAATATTATGGCCATTATAACAAATATTACTCTCTATTCACGTAAACTGTTAAAGTAACAATCAATAATTATTTGATTTAAACCAGTACATATAAGATGCAATTAAAATGGAAACAACGAAATTAATTTTGACTAAATAGTTTATGACGACATATCTTAAATAATAAAATATTTTGTCGCAACATTGTAATAACATAAAGACAAAATCAAGCCGATATTGTGTGAAAAATCAAGATATAAATATTTTGTCGCAAAATTCTCAATACCCGTATCTGTCGCGATATTATTATTTTTAAATTTCACTTTATCATATCCATGGTGTAAGCAGATCAGCTATTTTATTGATCTTTCTGAACCTCTGTTCAGCTTTCCAACTTGACTAATTTATGTTTTGTTCCTTATCTATGCCTGGTAATGTATATAAAGGTATCAAGAAGTTATTGAAGATATTACTAAAAGAATGGGAGCAGGAATGGCCAAGTTCATTTGCCAGGAGGTTTGTAATACAAATCTCATTATTTAATGTGGTTCGTAAAAGAAAAAAAAAACTGAAACAATTTTTGCACTAAACCAATTTTCTCTGATACTCGACAGGTAAAAACTATTGATGACCACAATGAATATTGCTACTATGTCGCTGGACTTTTGGGTTTTGGCCTCTCAAAACTCTTCCTCGCTTCGGGATTAGAAGTTTTAACTCCAGACTGGGAGCAACTTTCCAATTCAATGGGTTTGTTTCTACAGGTATTACAATTTATCAAAGTCCCCTCCCCAAATGTTTTGTAAAATTTACAAAATACTATAACTTGGACCATTATTTGTAGAAAACAAACATCACTAGAGATTATCTTGAGGACATCAATGAAGTACCAAAGCCACGCAAGTTTTGGCCTCGCCAGATTTGGAGCAAATATGCTGACAAGCTCGAGGTATATATATATATCACTCTCAACTTTTAGATGTGGTCTGTTCTAATTAAGCTTAATAATGTGACTATCTTCTGCTACTAAAAAAAAAAAATGAAACTCCCGATATATAGGACTTTAAAGATGAGGAGAACTCGACCAAAGCAGTGCAATGCTTAAATGATATGATCACTGATGCATTGATGCATATTGAAGACTGCTTTAAATTCATGGCTTCATTGCGTGATCCTACCGTATTTCGGTTTTGTGCCATCCCTCAGGTTGGATATACATAATAAATCACATTTTCTTACCTTTATTATTTATTTGCTTATAAAAAAATTGTTTAGATTGTTGTCTCCGATATATTAAACTGATTTCATTAGATTCACTTGCAAAACTATATATACACTCCTCTAGATTTTGCCTCTGCATCTACATAAAATTGTGTTGGATTATGTGGTTCGCGATATCAGATTATGGCGATTGGAACGCTTTCAAAATGCTATGACAATGTACAAGTCTTTAAAGGCGTTGTGAAAGTGAGGCGAGGTAAGATGTTTATCTCCTTAAGCCCTTAGAAATAAAATGTAAATGTTTTGTTAGTCAGTCACCATTAACATTTGGTATTACCAACTTGGTATATTTAGGTATAACTGCTAAAGTCATGGATCGCACAAAAACAATGGATGATGTCTATGGCGCTTTCTATGATTTTTCTTGCGTACTGAAAGCAAAGGTATGTTAGTATATATTTCATCTCTATTTATCTGTTTTCGTAGCTGTATTTGTAGAAGACCAAACATGTGTATTTTAATTGTAAATAGGTCAATGAAAATGATCCAAATGCCACGGAGACACTACGCCGACTTGAAGCGGTCCAGAAACTCTGCAGAGACAGTGGTGTTCTGTATAAAAGGTAGTTAACAGTCTTCTTTTCTGTATCTTGAACCGAATCTCGCTTTCTTTTGGATCACTTTCTAAAGAATCTATCCTTTTCTTTGGTTCAGAAAATCCTTGGTTAACAATGGAGCACAATCAAAACCTCTCTTTGTGAGTAAAAAAATTTCAAATACAAGTATATATACAGATCATTTTCGAATACATTACTAATCCTCTTCTCTACCCGTGAAATGTAGATTGTAATGCTGCTGGTGCTTCTCCTGGCTGTGGTCTTTGCGTATCTTAGAGCAAACCAGAGTGATGGAACAACTAATGCGAGCGTCTCTCTGCCTATCGCTAAAGACCTCGACATCATCAGGAACATGGTTTCTGGCTTCTTCAGCAAATATTGATGTTTTTTTTTTCATTTTCTGTTTTACGCTATGTTCTTGCCCTGCCTTTTAAATAACTGGATCCTAGATTCAAGATTGTGTTAAACTTTGTTTGCTTTGAATCCATAAACTTTGATGTTATATATATATGCCTTCCGTTGTTATATTATCTAAAATTGATTCTCTTTTTTACTTACTTTCATTTTGGGTACATAATAAAATTGAACCAAGCTTATTATTTAGGCTCTAACTGGTGACACATAAAAATAGAATAGGAATGAGAAGGAAAAGAATAAAATGAACAAAAAAAGGAATCAATAAGAATAAAATACATATAAAGAAATAAAGAATATTTTTTGTTCATTTCCACATTTTATAAGGAATACTTTTGTTCTATAATTCCTTAAATAATAAAGAATAAGAGAGAATAACATAGAACAAATATTACTAGTAAATGGTAAAAAATTTAAGAAATGAAGAGGAATTCATTCCTTATAAAATTTAAGGAATGAAGAGGAATTCATCTTTCAATACTCATCTTCGTTTTTTTGATCACCAGTTATCATTCAATACTTTAGAGGGAAAAAAAAGTCGTCAATTTCCACTAATTTGAGCCAATTTTCACAATCTAGACAAAATTCAAGTCAATTTTCACAATTTGACTGTTTATAAATAATAATAATAATAATAATAATAATAATAATAATAATAATAAAAAGAGTCAATTTTTACTAATTCCACCGTCATGTGTGGTACATTTTGCCAAAACGGTGAGAATAAAAGTCAATCCAACGCCTTGGACAGGTCACAGGGAATCTCTCCGACATAACAATCCGTCTCACGACGTCGCGAAGCTTCTGTTTTTCTGTTTTTGCCTGTCCGTTTTGCGATCGGAACAAAACCCTAAATTGGTCGAGCGGCTTCTTCTATTTTTCGCGTGATTTGATTTCGCGGTCGACAAAGGGGTACACCCAATGAAAGGGATCGCGAGGCTTGTAACTTCTCTTTCGCGACTCGGAGGAGGTCGCGAGATCTTTTCTGGAGGGAGTACGGTTTCTTCTTCGTCTTCCTCTCTTCTGGTATCTCGTCGCTCCCTTTTCATCTCTGCGGCAACGCACTTTCCTACCAGTTCACGGACGACAGATTCTGCTCTTACCTCTTCGAGATTGTCTTCACTTCCTCAGAAATGGGCTTTCCGTGGAGGTAATCGATCTTCTAGGTTGTTCGTTTCCGTAATTTTGCTGTATTGAGGAGAAAAGATTCGGACTTTTTGTTCTCTATGTCTCATAGACCATTTGCTCCGATGCAGAAATTGATAATTGCTCAGAAATTTGGATTCTTTTAAGGCTTGAAGCAATCTTTTATCTCTCGAGTCTTTTGAGACAGATGAATTCGAGTGTTATTAGCTTTATAACTCAGTGGGTGCTTTTTGAGCAGGGCAGAGAAGGACGATGTTTATCCAAACACAATCTACTCCGAATCCTTCTTCTCTAATGTTTTATCCTGGCAAACCAGTCATGGAGGTTGGAAGCGCCGATTTCCCTAATGTTCGTTCAGCTTTAGGCTCGCCATTAGCCAAGTCCATTTACTCCATTGATGGTATTATTATTATTATTATCCCTCGTGTAGTCTCTCCGTTACGTCTGATTTAATCGCAAAGACTCTGTCTTTTAATGTGAATGTGGTTCTTTATTTTGTGTTGCAGGTGTGGTTCGAGTTTTCTTTGGCTCGGATTTTGTGACCGTGACAAAGTCAGATGATGTATCATGGGATATCCTCAAGCCTGAGATATTTGCAGCGGTCATGGATTTCTATTCTTCTGGCGAGCCTTTGTTTCTGGACTCGCAAGCTGCTGCTGCCAAGGATACTGCCATCAACGAGGTATAAAGACCCTCCTTGCACCACTATTGATCTCTATATACAACTTCCTCATTTTCCCCAACAGTTAGTTTCCCTTTAGAGTCATTTTGGGTGTCTTGTGTTTATATAGTTTGTGCTGGTTTTCTCGGCGCAATCTGTAACAATATCATCAACAGTTTGGGAGTTTTAGTTTGCTGTGAAATTTATATAGACATGAGATAGTTTGATTATGGAATATATTCGAGTTGCTTTAGTGAGCTGATGGACATGAGTTATATGATCTTGAAGTAGTAAGCTGAGAGAGACTGTGTCCCACGAACATGTTGGTCGATTAATTATGTTTTGACGTTTTGCAATGCTCTTTGGTAGATAAGCCTGTGTGGTAACCAGTGTTGTTGTATTTCTGTGATTCAGGATGACTCTGAAACCGTAGCAATGATCAAGGAGCTCTTAGAAACGCGCATCAGACCAGCAGTACAAGATGATGGTGGGGACATCGAGTATTGTGGGTTTGATCCGTAAGTTTTACTCTCTGAGTTTGATAAAATCAGTGTGCATATTGTGTGGGTTTGATATTGTATCAGATCAGATATTGTGGGTTTGAGTTTGATAAGATATCAAGTTATTGTGGGTTTGATCCCTGATTTAAGCAATGATCATGTTTCTTCATATCTCTCTAAGTAAAAATAAAATCCTTTGGGTGGGTTTTGATCAGGGAAAGCGGTATAGTGAAGCTGAGGATGCAAGGAGCTTGTAGCGGTTGTCCAAGTTCATCTGTTACTTTGAAATCAGGAATCGAGAACATGCTGATGCATTATGTATCTGAGGTAACAGAGATCATCCTACTAACAGTTTCTTACTACATATGGCTAATTACAGACCAACCTGTGCGTATGTCTTTAAGTGGCGGTGTTAAACAACCATTGGAGAATCAGGAACTTGTAACTGTTTCTTCTTCTTCTTCTAATGAAAGTGTTTTTTTTTATGCAGGTGAAAGGTGTAGAACAAGAGTTCGATGGGGAAGAAGAAGAAGAGGGAACGTTGTCTGGAGAGATGAGAGAGTAGAGTAAGACATTTCCTCAAAATCTGCTTCTCTGCTCTTTTCTCTTTCAGTGTACAGAAGAATAAATCCTCGTGAGTTTTTTTTTTTTTTTTTGGCTTTTGAATCACACTGCAAGACTACCGAGAGATCATGGGTTGATCTGTTCTGTAACTTTAGTTACCTACAGTAATAATTGCATTATTTTTTTGAGTTTTTTTCTAAGGAAAATATACAAGAGTTTTTCGATTTTTCCATGAAACAACCAATACTGATTCTATTACTGTATGAATTATTATATGACACAGGTTTTTGTTTAGCTTTGTATTTTTCTTCTTATAGATTATGCAAACAAAAATTGATATATTTATCTTGAAATTGATTTATTTAGTTTTTTTTTTTTGAAATAGCATTTTAGAAAAAAGTAAATCGTGATTTAACAAAACCAGAAAAAGAAATATAATGTACATTTCCCAAGGACATAATCGAATAACTCCAATTCCACTAATTACTATATCAGACAACCATATTTTGATTTCCGGTTCTCATCCTAGAAAAATTTTAAAACTCGTCTTAAACCAAACCAAAATCTATAAGCTATAAACCATTTTTTAGCCGGCCGATATAAACCAGAAATATACTAGAGCCGAGCCGTTTGCTTGACCGAGTACATAATTACATATAGCTATATACCAAATTGGCTTAAACCGAACCAAAAAAATCGATTGAGAAATTGAACAATCGTCATCCTCATTAGGGTTTTGGTATACTATTGACTATATATATACAAATAGAAAGTGTTGGGTTGAGGGAAACAATTGTTCGCTTCCTCCAAGAGAACATACACAGAGAGAGTTAAAGTCGAGAAACCTTGCGGCTATGGCGGCGGCAAATACACCGTATCTTGTTTCCGATGACTTTAACTACGAAATCTGGGCTCCAATCGTGAAAGCTACGCTTGTGGAGAAAGGACTTTGGAACGTCGTCGAAAACGGAATCCAGCCGGATCGGAGAAACCTTGTGGTAAAAGACAAGGAAGCGCTCGAGGTATTGCGATCTTCTCTACCAGATTCGGCTTTCAGGACGACTCTCTGGGCTTCTTCCTCTTCAGCCAAGGATCTCTGAGATTTGCTCAAAGAAGGTAACGAAGAAGAGAAGCTACGTCGTTTAGAGAAGGAATTCAAAGGTGTTAGGATGGAAGCAGGAGACGCGATTTTACCTCGCATTAACAGAATCGCGGCGATGGCTGAACAAATCCGTCTTTTAGGAGGCGCGAAATCCGAGCATGAGGTTGTCACGAAGGTGTTAACGTCACTATCAGATTCATATAATAAACGTTTTCCTGCTTCTATGGTGGGACGCGAGGATGTGGGGGGTGGGACTGTTGAAAATCTTATTAAGCTTTTTGTTCTATACGAGCTGGAATCAGCCGATGCTCTTGCTCGGATAGCGACAAGGCTTGGTGAAGAACACAGGGCTGCTAAGCGGTGCAGGGAGTGCAAAAGGCACAACCACAGAGTAAAAGACTGTTATTTCGCTACAAGGCCAGGTGATTCGAGTGGGAGCAGGCGAGTTCGAGCAAGGAGAGGCGAACCTTTTCTAGGCAGGGAAGAAGGGCACTATGCAATGGATAACTCGGCGGCGGAGACGCCAGCTCGGAAAGGTCAAAACAGGAATGAAGCACCTGAGTATGAAATGTTAGCATTCTTTCGTCCTGGTGTGACATTTGATGAGGATATGTGGCTGATAAACAATACCGCCTCGATTCATATGACTCCGTATGAGAAGTATTTCGCCACTCTAGACAGAACACACAGAGCCCCGGTCAATTTCTTCACCGGAGTTCCTATCATGTCCGAAGGAATGGGAGACGTCGTGATCATGACTGGTAAAGGGAAGACGACGATAAAGAATGTGCTTTTTGTCCCCGGAATCATAGGAAACGTGCTGAGTGTTGGTCAGATGGAGAGGAGCGGCTATGCAGTTGACATGCGATCACACGTTTGCGTTATAAAAGATTGTACTGGGAAATTATCTGGTGAAACAAGGAGGGATGGTGACAGAGGCTTTTGTCTGCGTTTGAAGGTGATTTGAAGGTAATGTCGACTCTTTAGTTCATCTTCACTTGGAATGAATTTGACACTAGCTACTAGTAATAGGGTCGACTAATTAGTTCATTTTTTTTGTTTGTTTGCACTAAGAAAGCTAATGCAATACATGTGTGTATTGCTCGGTATGGGTCAGATCTTTTAACCTAGCGGCATCGGACTTGATAACTGTTTGGATCAGTCCACTGAATGTTTGGATTGTTTTCCGGATATTAACATACTATGTACTTGATCAAGTTTAGGGATGCGTTGGATCAAAACTCAACGACTTCTTTTTTTTTAATCATTAGTCCTAATCACAAGTCAAAAACTATAAACGATTCTTTCTTGATGACCACACTAAAGAGGAGCTTGCGTGTGGTGTAGGTGTTAAATCACCTATCCGGACCAACCCATTTAATTGAACCAGACTTAACCATATTGGATTTCCATTCAGGTAACTCGTCTTAATAGTATACTTGGGATGTGTTGAAAGGAGGCAACAAACAAGCGATGTTGGATAGATTCGACAAGAAATTCGAAGAACTTTAAACAATATTTTATTGTTAAAATTTGATTCTTATTACATTTTTGTATGCAAAGAATTTTCGACCATATTTTTTAAAGAAAACCCAAAACATTTTTTAGCCTTACAAATATTATTGTAATAAAAAGCATATAACCTTTTTTACATATAAATATTGATAAAAGATAGCAAAAAATATTTAACTAAAATTGTCTCCCTAGCTAAGATACAAGAATTTGAATTTTTCCTCAGTATAATTCCGATTTTTCCATGAACAATACTATTATGACTTTGTAAATTTCTTCTTGTATAACTTTGTAACAGAAGTTAATAAATTTGTCAAAAGAAACAAAAAACTATAATCAGGAACCGGTCAAATTCAATTTGGTTAAATATACTCTCCAATTGCACTAAACCGAACTAAAACCAACTAGGCTAAATCAAGTATGGTCAAATTGCAATTTAGGAAAGTCATTTAAATAAACTCCGACAGTTTGCGGCTATGGCTCTGGAGAGTTAAGATTGTATTAGGATTTAGGGTTTGGAATGATGCCACTATTATTATATAAATATAAAGTAATAGTGGTTAGATCAATAGTTTATTCGCATCCTCCAAGATCATATACACAAAGAAAAGCTCAGATGGCTTATGCGGAGAGAACACCGACTCTACAAGACCTTGTTTCCGAAGACCTAAACTTCAAAGTCTGGTCGGCGATGATGAAAGCCACACTGAAGGAGAAAGGACTCTGGGAAGTTGTTGAAAACGGAATCCCATTGGATCCGTCCAAGAATCCAAAGTTGGCTGCGTCTCTACAAGGCGAAGAGTTTTGCAGGTGGAGAGATCTCGCGAGAAAAGACATGGAAGCGCTCCGGATTTTGCATTCTGGTCTCACGGATTCGGTTTTTAGGAAGACTCTCTCGGCGGCTACTTCGGCCAAGTGTCTTTGGGAAATGCTAGAACAAGTGCCTGAGCATTTATATTGTGTCGTGGATGCTGATGATTTGACATCATACGATGAGAATATGTGGATGATAGACAGCACCACCACGAACCATATGACTCCGCACGAGGAGTATTTCACCACTTTAGACAGAACGCGGAGAGCAAGGGTTACGTTCCTTGACGGAAGTACCATCATGGCAAAAGGAACAGGAGATGTCAGGATTTTGACGTGTGAAGGGATCAAGAAGACGATCAAGAATGTGCTTTTCGTTCCAGGGATTGTGAGAAACGCGTTAAGTGTTGGTCAGCTGAATACGAGCGGCTATGAGGTTATAATGGGAACAAAGGAATGCACTATATGGGATCAGGCGATAGGGACATTGATTGGTCAAACCAGGTCTCGCAAAGAGAGAGGCTTTTTCCTACGTTTGAAGGTTATCTGAATGTTATCTACTTAGAGCTGCGTATCGTAACTAAAACTAACTACTTTTGGGCTTTGTCGAACACTTTTTCGGTCTTTTCGTGGTCGACAAGCAAGTGTGTTTTGTCGCCTGAGTTTGGGTGTTTACTTTTGAATTTCCTTTTACAAGTAGGATAAGAGTCTTTAGTTAACTTTACTATCCAAAGAACTTGCCTTTTCATATCTCCAAGAGGTTTAGTTTCAAACCTATCGTTCTACTTTCTTGGTGGTTATGAGTTATGACTTATTATAAGCCTCCGCTCTCCATCGATCTCTTAAGTCATTTTCACTTTTGACACTAAACGCTATCAATTTTCCCATAAAACTACAATTGTTGCACGGGTACCCGAGAAACCGGTTCCAATCGCATATTTTCCCATAAAACAGGATCATATTTAAGTTAATGCCAATTTAAAAACAAAATATTTGGAAACAAATACAGTTAACAATGATAAGTTTACAGTTTCATATATACCACTTATAGAGGTTTATATGATTGTTTTTCTTTAGTTTGCTTTAGAGACATGATATAATTGTATCTTCTAAATTACATGCATGCGTCCATTACAGATTATGGTGTATACCATATGAAAATTGAAAATGTATAAAGAGATTAATTCTCTCTTACTAGTGTTTTATGTGATAAAAGATTTTCAATCCACTGTATGTTTTGATTGTTTTCCGGATATTAGCATATTAGGTATTGAACTAAACCAAGTTTAGGATTGTGCTGGATCAAAACTAAACGACTTCATTTTTATCATATATCATCCAAATGCATCGCATCATCTTGGCGTTGTTAGTCCTAATCACAAGTCAAAACCATCAACGATTCTTTCTTGTATAACCTATCCGGATCAACCCATTTATTTGAACCAGACTTAACCATATTGGATTTCCATTCAAGTAACTCCTCCAAATTATTTTTGGGATATGTTGAAAGAAGGCAATAAACAGGCGATGCTAGCTAGATTCGACAAGGAATTCGAAGAACTTGAAGTTGAAGCTAGCTTAACCGGATCCACCTATATAACTTGAACCAGCCTTAACCAAATTTGATTTCTTTAACAATAAATATTCAAATTTAGCGATCAAAATGAATACCGAACCGATTCGAGAACTCTCCGTTAAAAAGTGTTGCTTAAATGCAATCATATTTAATTTCACGCACACCTCGAACTGAGCGGAAAATATAGGGAGATATCCCAATTCATTTTGGTTTAATATAATCCAATCACATTGAACCAAACAAAATAGAACCAAAACCGAGCCGAAAAACCGAAATCTTTACCGCACATTTGGTGATTTCAAAATGTCGAAATGCTTACCGCTCATTTGGTGATTTCAAAATGTAATTTAGGGTTTACGGTTTTGTATAACCAGTAACCACTATAGTGTTCGGGCAAGGAAATTGCAGATCTATTCGATTTCTTCAAGAGAATACATACAGAAACAAAAAGTTCTTAGAAACCCTGACGGTCACGAGCTTACGGCTATGGCTTCAGCGAATGTATCCGACGATCTGGACTATGAAATCTGGGCTCCGGCCGCAAAAGCTACACTAATGGAGAAAGGACTTTGGGACGTCGTTGAGAACGGAGTCCCGCCGGATCCATCGAAGATTCCAGAGTTAGCGGCGACGATTCAAGCTGAAGAACTTTCTAAATGGAGAGATCTCGTGGTGAAAGACATAAAAGCGCTCCAGGTTTTGCAATCTTCTCTCAGGGATTCTGCTTTCAGGAAGACTCTCTCAGCTTCTTCGGCTAAAGAGGTTTGGGATCTACTCGAAAAAGGTACCAAACAATCGAAACTGCGTAGATTAGAGAAGTAATTCGAAGAAATTAGTATGCACGAAGGAGAAACGCTCGGTTTATACATAGCTAGAGTGACGAGAATCGTTGAACAGCTGCGTCGTTTGGACATTGCGAAATCTGAGTACGAGGTTACCAAGAAGGTGTTGAGTTCGGTCTCGAGGCCGTATAATATCGTGGCTCCGATTCTGGATGAACACATGGATCCCAAGAGTATGACTCTTGAAAGCATTGTCGAGTTTTTTGAGATATACGATTCAGTAGCAGAGGAAACTCTGCTTTTTATGCTGAATGATATGAGACTTGCGTCGAAGCCTGATAAGTGGTGTGGTGTGTGCAACAAGAGCAACCACAACGAAGAAGATTGTTATTTCATCGCTAAGTCGGGGAGTTCTAGTGGAGCCAAGGCGAGAAGAGGTAAATGCTTTCAATGTGGAGAACGAGGGCATCACGCAAGAGACTGCAAGAGAAAGAATCAGAAACAAGTGGCCACAGAAGCTGAGATAGATGGTGAAGAAGACACACAAGTTGATTACCTAATGTTAGCAGAGGAAAGTTTGCGTAACTTCACTTACGATGAGGATATGTGGATGGTGTACGCCAATTGCACGACGAACCATATGACTCCCTATGAGAAGTATTTCACCACTTTGGACAGAACGCACAAAGCTAACGTTGGATTGGCGAACAGGAAATATATCAAGGTCGAAGGAAGAGGAGATGTAAAGATCATGATGAAGGAAGGGAAGAAGAAGACGATCAAGAATGTGCTTTTAGTTCCAGGGCTCAACAGGAACGTGCTGAGTCTTGATCAGATGATAGCGAGAGGATATTCAGCGGTGACGAGACCAGACACATGCATTTTTCGAGATCGGACTGGGGCTGTTTTTGGGGATACTGTGTTGGACGAGAGAGGACCAGCTCTGCGTTTGCAGGTGATTGAAGGTAATCAGTAAACCTCACCGCTTATATAATTAGATGCTTCTTCACTTTGGTAATGGACTTAACTAGTAAGGTGGACCATGGACGTATGGCTCTTTTATGTGGTTTTTTATTTTATTTTATAAGTTTGGTGTTGTTCTGTTTTCAGTTGATTCGTCTAATTCATATTCTGCTCTACTGCAATATGAATTAATCTATGGTCTTTTAACTTTGGACGGCTTAGTATTATTTTATCTACTTTGGAAAAAAAAAATATTTTTGTTATTCACTATGCAATGCTTTTGTTATGTTCTGTTAATGGTGAAAAAGGGACGATATGTTGAAAGTAGTCAACGAACAAGTAAAGTTAGGTTTGATTAGAGAAGGATTTCAAAAATATTAAAATGAAAGCAGGATTAGCATTAGCTTTGGTGTGGTTAGTTCTAATCGCAAGTCTCAAAACCATCAACAAAACTCTCTTGTTGACAATCATTATAGAGAGAGAAACTTGCGTGTAGCAAAATTTAACCACATTAGATTTCCCTTAATCGGATCAACCCATTTAAACCGAACCAGATTTAACCACATTAGATTTCCCTTTGAATATATTAGCAAAATTTGACCGTGACTACTTTGGTTTAATATATTCTCCAATTGAACTAAACCGAATCGATAACCGAGTCTAAACTTGAAATGTTGCACACCGGGAAGACTGATCGACGACGACTCATTTGGCGATTTTCCAAATTGTTAGGGTTTACGATTTGGTTTGTATAAATAGAAACCATTGGGGTCTGAAGAATAGTTTACAGGAATCGCTCTCCAAGTGAATATACTGAAAGAGAATAGTATAAGAAATTCTGACGGTTACTGCGATGGCGGCGGCGAACATTCAAGACGCCGTTTCCGATGATCTGAACTACGAAATGTGGGCTCCGACCATGAAAGCTACACTCGTGCAGAAGAAACTTTGGGATGTTGTTGAGAACGGAGTCTCGCCGGATCCAAGGAAGATTCCAGAGATTAAGGTCGAGGAGCTTGCGCAATGGAGGAATCGTGTGATAAAAGACATGAAAGCGCTCAAGATGATCCAGTCTTCTCTCACGGAATCGGCTTTCAGGAAGACTGTCTCGGCTGCTTCGGCCAAGGATCTTTGGATTCGCTCGAAAGAGGTAACGAAGAAGCGAAACTTCGAAGATTAGAGAAGCAATTCGAAGAAATCAGCATGGGGGAAAAAGAATCGATCGATTCCTACTTCGATAGGGTTACAGAAATCGTTGAACAGTTGCGTCTTTTAAATCGAGAAATCCGATTACGAGGTTATCGAGAAGGCGTTGGCCTCGGTCTCAGGGTCATACCGTGATGCCGCTCCTCTGTTGGGAGAACTCTGGGATCTGAAGAAGATGACTTTGAAGAGCCTTGTTGAGATTTTTCACACGTATGATTCAATATCAGAGGAAGATGTCCATCGGATGTTGAAGCTAAACAGGCTTAAATACGAGTCTCGAAACAAGAACAACAATCATTCGATCCCTAAGGCAGGGGGCTGGAGTGAAGAAGGAAGGCATTACGGAAGACAGTGCTACAGAAGGAAACAGCAACCGGAGAAGAAAGAAGCTCAGAATCAGAAAGACAAGGAAGAAGAAGGAGAAGAAATCTTCGTTGATTATATACTGATGGCGAAGTTATCTTTAGCAGAATTCAATTACGATGAGGGTATGTGGATGATATACGGCCATGCCAGTAATCACATGACTCCATATGAGAAGCTTTTCACCAAGCTAGACAAGAAGCAGAAAGCTAAGGTTGGTTTGGAGGACGGGAGTGTTATAATGGCGGAAGGATTAGGAGATGTGAAGGTTGTGATGAAGGGAGGGAAGAAGAAGACGATCAAGGATGTGCTTTTTGTTCCTCATGGGATCAACAGAAACGTGTTAAGTGTTCGTCAGATGCAATCAAGAGGCTGTTCATTCAATGAGGGAGAAAGAGGCGAGTGCATTGCTTGCGATAAGACTGGGGCAGTATTTGGAGACACTACGTATGATGAGAGAGAGGATTGTCTATTCGTTTGCAGGTGATTGATGGTAATCTCACCTCTTAACTAGCTGCTCTTTTCACTTGGTTACTACTAGACTTGGCTCGTAAGGTGGAGACGTATATGTCTTTTTTTAGTTTTGTTTGATTCAGTTTGTGCTTTCTATTTCATATTCTGCTACTGCAGTGTGAATCAATCTTTTGGTCTTTAAACCTTGGACGGCTTGGCATTAATCAATCTAGTTTTCAAAAACTGTTTTTGTTATTCACTTTGCAATGCTCTTTGATCAAAGGGTCGATTTATAGTAACAATCAAACTATTGTGAGATAAGACACGAAGTTTGTTTCAGATATTGCAATGCTCTCACAGGGGCATATGGGTTGTGCGAAAGACTTTTTCAGCAAAAGATGTCTGGGATGTGTTGAAAGAAGGGCAATGAACAAACGAAGTTGAGTTGATTAGAGAAGGAATTTGAAGAAAATGAAATGGAAGCAAAAGAGAAGCTTGGTTTGATTAGTTCTAATCACAAGTCCAAACAATCAATATCTGTTGACTATTGGTAGATAGAAGTTAGCGTGTAGTGCAGGGTTGATCACTTGACCGGATCAGCCCATTTAAAATTGAACCAGATGACCAAATTAAATCTTTATTTGAATACATACCAATTCGAGAACTTCCGTATATTCGAGAGTGTATAAATTTTAGGGAATCAAGATGATACATATAAGACGAATCTGGAACAGAGCTGAAAACATGACTGAAATAACCTGAGGCCAGTTGTATTAAACCGAACTGATAACCGAGTCTAAACTTGACTAATCTGAACCAATTTTAAAAGTGAATTAAAGTTTCATTTTTCCAAATTATAACCGATTTTAGAACTTCCTGTTAACCAAATACACTTTGGTTAAATATGTTATTCAATTGCATTAAACCAAACCAAAACCAAGCCTGAAATCGAAACGTCTACCCGCTCATTTAATGTTTTCAAAATTTAGGGCTTACGGTTTTGTAGACCGTCACTATATATATAGGAAGCGTTCGGCTATGAGAGTCTATTCGCTTTCTCCAAGAGAATATACAGAAAACAAAAAGTTCAAAGAAATAACCCTGACGGTTACAGGCTTTGCGGCTATGGCGACGGTGAATGTATCCGATGATCTGAACTATGAAATCTGGGCTCCGGTCACGAAACTACACTAATCGAGAAAGGCCTTTTGGGGTGTTGTTGAGAACGGGGTCCCGTCGGATCCATCGAAGACTCCAGAGTTTGCTGCGACGATCGAATCCGAAGAACTTTCTAAATACAGAGATCTCGTGAGAAAAGACACGGAAGCGCTCCATATTTTGCAATCTTCTCTCCCAGATTCTGCATCCAGGAAAATTCACTCGGCTGCTTCGGCCAAAGATGTTTGGGATTTGCTTCAAAAAGGTAAAGAAGAATCGAATCTGCGTAGATTAGAGAAGAAATTTGAAGAAATTAGTATGGATAAAGGAGAAACGCTCGATTTCTTCTTGGATAGAGTTTTGGGAATCGTTCAAGAGCTGCGCCGGATGAAAACCCCGCAATCCGATTACGATGTTATCTCCAAGGTGTTATCCTCGCTCTCAAAGCCGTACGGTGACTTTGCTCCTCTCTTTGAAGAACTCAAGTTCACGGATCTGAAGAACATGCCTCTTACAGGACTTGTTGAGTTCTGCTACATGTATGAATCAATAACAAGCGAAGCCACCTCTCTGAGGTTGAAGAATCTGAGGCTTGAATCGGAGTCTGATAAGTGGTGTAGCGTCTGCGACAAGAGCAATCACAGCCAAGAAGACTGTAACTCCACTCTTAAGGCGATGCAATCTAGACCGAGAAACGGCGAGTGCTTTATATGTGGAGACAGAGGACATTACGCCAGAGATTGCAAGAGCAAGGATCAGGAAGAGGAAATCGGAGTTGAGTATGTGATGGCAGCGCCGATTACGGAAAGTGATCTAACTTACGATGAGGACTTGTGGATGGTATCGGGATATGCCACGATCCATATGACTCCGTACGAGAAGGTTTTCGCTACTCTAGACAGAACACACAAAGGTAAGGTTGGATTGGTTGATGGGAAAGTTATCGTGGTTGAAGGAAAAGGAGATGTGAGGATTGTGATGAAGGAAGGGAAGAAGAAGACGATCGATAATGTGCTTTTTGTTCCCGGGATGATCAGAAACGTGTTGAGTCTTAGTCAGATGGAAGCACAAGGTTGTTCATTTAGCGAAGGAGGAGGAGGCGAATGCATTATTAGTGATCGCAATGGGGCAGTTCTTGGGGAAACGATGTGGGACAAGAAAGACTTGGCTCTGCGTTTGCAGGTGATTAAAGGTAATCTCAGTTCTTGAAGTAGCTGATTTTTCACTTTGGTACTGGACTTTACACGAAAAGTGGGACGTGTTTATGTCTTTTATGTGGTTTTTATTATGAAGATATCTTGTGGTCTTTTAAGCTTTTAGACCGGCTTTGTATTTTAAATCTTGTTTTCAAAAACAATTTTTGTTATTCAATATGCAATGCTTTTTCAAGTTCTTTTAAGGGTTTATGTTGAAAGAAAATAACAAACAAATCAAGTTAGTAGTAGATTAGATTAGGAATTCGAAGAAAGTGGAAATTATTGCTAAAGAAGCAAGCGTGTGGTAGTGGGATAATCATTTAACCGGAGCAACCCATTTAGATTGAACCTGACTTAACCGAAGTAAATGTTGTAAGACGAATACTTAACCGAAGTAACGTGGTTTGATATATCCTCCAATTGAATTAAACCGAACCGATAATCGAGCGTAAACTTGAAATGTCGACACTTGAACGACAGGGTTTCCGGTTTGGTATAATGTCACTATATAAATAGAAAATGTTGGGGTGAGGCGAATACTTTATTCGCTTTCCAGATTGAACTGTAGGGTTTCCGGTTTGGTATAGTGTCACTATATAAATAGAAAATGTTGGGGGTGAGGCGAATACTTTATTCGCTTTCCTCCAAAAGAATATACAGAAAAAGAAGTATAAAGAAATCTGACAGTTAAGGCAATGGCGGCGGCGAATCTACAAGTGGCTGTTTCCGATGACCTGAACTATGAAATGTGGGCTCCGATCATGAAAACTACACTCGTGGAGAAAAAACTTTGGGATGCTGTTGAGAACGGAGTCTCGCCGGATCCAACGAAGATTCCAGGGTTAGCGTCGACGATTCAAGCCGAAGAGCTTTCCAAATGGAGAGATCTCGCGAGAAAAGACATGAAAGCGCTCCAGATTCTGCAGTCCTCTCTCCCAGAGTCGGTTTTCAGGAAGACTCTCTCGGCTTCTTCGGCGAAAGACGTTTGGGATTTGCTCAAAATAGGTAACGAAGAAGCGAAGCTCGTTGAGTTAGAGAATCGATTCGAGGAACTTAGTATGCATAAAGGAGAAGCGATGGATTCCTACGTTGATAGAGTTGTGAAAATCACTGAACAGTTCCGCGATTTGAAAAAATGCGAAGCCTGATTATGAGGTCATCAGGAAGGTTTTAGGCTCGCTCTCAATGTCGTATGAATGCGTAGCTCCGCTGATCGATGAATACATGGATCTGGAGAACATGAGCCTTGCCGAGTTTCACGAGTTTTTTGCTACGTTTGGATCATTACCAGGAAGAGGTCTCGCTCTAATGTTGAAGGATACATTTGATTCACCGAAATGGGGTCAGATAAGTAGCGATGTGCGTAACAAGAACAATCGCAACCAAGAAGAAGCTAAGAAAAACCAGTACAGAGAAGTCGAAGCTGAGTATGAAATGCTTTCTCTAACTATAGGTGATTTCGTGTATGATGAAGATATGTGGATGGTATACACCACGACCTCGAATCACATGACCCCGTATGTGAAGTTCTTCACCACTCTAGACAGAACACACAGGGCTCGGGTGAGATTTGCCGACGGATCAATCACCATGACAGAAGGGAGAGGAGATGTCAGGATCATGACCAAGGAAGGGAAGACGAAGACGATCAAGGATGTGCTTTACGTTCCGGCGATCAACAGAAACGTGCTCAGTGTTTATCATTTGACATCGATCGGCTATTCAGTGATAATGGAAGGAAACAAACGTTTCAAGTTCACTATTAAGGATCAGAATGGGAAACTATTTGGAGAAACCAATTTGAACGACAAAGGGTATTTTTATCTGCGTTTCCAGGTGATTGAAGGTAATCTCACCTCTTAAATTTAGCCTGCTTTCCACTTTTGGACTATAGGCTTAACTCGTTTGGTGGACGTATATGTCTCTTTTATGTGTGTTTTTGTTAAGAGTTTGGTTTGTATTCTGTTTTCAGTTTGTTCGTCAAATTCATATTCTGCTACTGCAGTATGAATTAATCTGTGGTGTTAATGTGTTATAAGCTAGGGACGGCTTAGTACTAGTCTAATTTTCAAAAACTATCTTGTTATTCACTATGCAATGCAAATGGACATCGTTTTCGTTAATGGTGAAAAGAGGACTAATTGTATTCGGGCTATGTTGATTAGAGAAGGACTCGAAGAAATTAAGGAATTCGAAGAAATGAAAACTGTAAGCAGGAGAAACTTGGTGTATGTAGTTCGTATCACAAAGTTCAAAGCACCAACAAAACTCTTGTTGACCATCGTCGCCGAGAAACTTGCGTGTAGTGTAGGTTAATCACTTAAAATGGATTAACCCCATTTAAATTAAACCAGACTTAACCACATTAGATTCTCGATCGAGAGACACGTTCCAAAACCATCTATCTATACTAAATAAAAGAAGCTTTTTAGGGTTTCAGAAGCTATCCACATCAGCTAAAAAAAACTTTCTCATTCAATGCCACGTGACACAAGTCTCTAATCATCATTCCAACATAAAATAATACCACCTGAACAGATACATACACTAAATGAAAATATTTGTCGGTTAAAACTAAATGTGAGGCCCATAAAAAACCTGATAAACCAAGGTCCAGTAGAAAGAATTAAACGAAGTCTCTTCTTTTTGTCGACAATCATTTTTTTCCTCCAAACACTTGAGATTCCAAAACCTAATTTGCTATGTTATCGATTTCTCTCCCCACTAACTTAACTTCATTGTCCACTCTTTGCTTTCAATTCAATGGCTTTAATGACTACTCCACACAAGCTTATAAAATCAAACCCCACACAACCCTCCACCTACATCAAAATTTCGAAAACTGTTGCAAGCAAATCAGGAAATTGAATCATGGCTTCCAAAAACTTACCATCGTCCTCACGAAGCAGTAAGGTAATCCAAAAAATCTTCAAATCAAAACATTTGTTAACTTTATCAGTGAAAATATGACGGTTCCTTTCCATCGGAAGGTGATGTAACTCTCAAAATAAAGCAGAATTCTCTTTCAACTCGGGGTTAAATGAGTAGATGATAATGCAGGTGAGCTGGTGGGAGGAGGTGAACTCGAAAAAATGATCATCGGCATAACTTCGTAGCTGCTTCTCTAATGGATATCTTACATGACACGACAAGAAGTGAAAAAGAGTATTATCAAACAAAAATGGATTGTAAAGAGACAAGATGTTGGTGTAAATTCATCAACCACCATATGGCTTAGCTACAGGTATGTGACTATATCACTAACGAAACGGCTTTGGTGTCGTATATTTGAGAGAGCAAGTATCTGCCGTTTCCAAAAAACAATGTTATTTTTTGACCGTTTTGATTTAAGTCAGATATTTTTCTTGCTATTCTGAAATCATATAGGAGTAGATGATGCTATTTAGAGCAGTGAAACAGAGGCATTATGTCTCTTAAAACTTAATTGATTTGATTTTCTGTAACCAGTTTATTGGGAGATTGTATGCTGAATTGTTTACTTCTTTTTTTTGTTTTTTTTGTTAGAGGTTAGCATAAACCCCAGCCACGCTTTGCTCATAGCTCCTACACTCAATATGCTGCATATCTATATAGGTATCTAAAATAATATGTTGTCTACAAAACAGTTTTTTCCGGTTATATAACTTTTACATAGTAAACCATCTTTTACATCCGAAATCTTATCAGGAAAAACAGGTTTTCAATATGATTATTAACTTGCTAACTTATTAACTTCCCTGCAACAACCTAAAGATGGCAGATTCTCTTATAAATATTTTTCGGATTCGTTTTTAGTCAAAGGATCGGATTACAATTGCTCTCTCATGTTTCCCATAGACTTCTTGGTTACATTTTTGAATAGACATAATAAAGCCATTCAGTTCGGCTATGAACTTGAAGCCACTTTATTTGCTATTGATATTCTCCCTTTCAATCAACCTTCTTCGTTGGAATAAGATATACCACCTACACAAAGAAATATTTACAATGCAAATGAATTGATAGACATTGGGCTTCATCACATTGTACTTCCAAGCTGAGCAAAATATACTACATATGAAAATTATAGAAAATGCAAGATCCATGGGTCGAGGGTAGAACGCAAAATTGGAACATAAAAAGAGGATTATAGAGTTTCAGGTAGACATCCCAGCCATAAGCAGGAGTTAAAGAGATTAATTTCACCTTAAATTGAAAACGTTACCCCTATTACTTTATATCAAAAATTGTAAAAAACCATATTATAAGAGAGCAAAGGATATATCTCATCAAAGTCTTTGTGATGTCAACATTTTAGGCTAAAATACATAGAATAAAATCCGTAAAATTAGAATAAAGTAGCTATGACTATGTCCACAATTCACGAACTTTATACATATATCACCAATGTGTGGTACTGTTCTACACTGTATGATTGTCTGCGCACTTTGATATACCCCCATATATATATATATATATATATTAATAACACAAGACTAAAGGCTATTCTAACTTAGAATTAAGTATATATGTTTTAAAGTTTCATCTTAGTTGGTACAATACATTCATCTATACAAAATAATATTATATATTTTTTTAATATCAAAACTGAAAAATAAGATACACACTTTCAAAGACACCAAATATAAATAAATACAAAGTTTTCACCTTATAATTTAAATCAAAATAATAACCTTAATATAAACGCACCGTTTTCTAAACTAGATCATTCACCAAATTATTCTTGAATAGAATATCCAACCCAAAATTAAATAGAATCAATATAAGATAAATAACTTATAAAAACACACAACTAGCTGAAATATAGGTTTCTTAGCAAATTAGATGATTACATTTATAAATAATCAAAATACAAACATTTTTTAAGTTTCAATTTACAATTCTTTATTTAACTCCCACAATTTTAAATCTTATCCGATTCATATTGCAAAAAAAATTATAATTTATAAACAAAATTATAATTTACAATCCGCGCTAGCGCGGAACAATCCCTAGTTTAATATAATTCTTGTTGATCATCATCGCTGGAGAGAAGAAGCTTGTGGTGGTGTAGGGCTAGTCACTAAACCAAATCAACCCACTTAAAAATTGAACCAGGCTTCACAAAGAATAGAACCGAAAACCGAGCCACTGCTCTCATTTGGTGATTTCACAATTGTGACTTTAGGGTTTACGGTTAAGTGGTAAAATGTCGCTGTATAAAAAAAAATATAAATAGAAAGTTCTCGGGTGAGGGAAATAGTTTATTCGCTTTTCCCTTGCTCCAAGAGAATATACAGAGGAAAAGAAAAGGTTTAAGCAAAACCTTGACAGTTTTGCGGCTATGGCGGCGGCGAATATACAAGACGCTGTTTTCGATGACCTGAACTACGAAACCTGGGCTCCAATCGCGAAGAAAAGACTAATGGAGAATGGAGTTTGGGATGTCGTTGAGAACGGAGTCTCTCCCGATCCAACGAAGATTCCAGAGCTAGCGGCGACGATTAAGGCCGAGGATCTCGCGCGATGGAGGAATCGTGTGATTAAAGAGATGAAAGCGCTCAAGATACTGCAGTCTTCTCTCACGGAATCGGCTTTCAGGAAGACTATCTCGGTTGCTTCGTCCAAGGATCTCTGGGATTTGCTCAAAAAAGCTAACGAAGGAGAAGGGAAGCATATTCGTAGATTAGATAAGCAGTTCGAGGATCTTACGATGTACGACGGAGAACCGATGGATTTTTACCTGGGGAGAGTTGTGGATCTCCTTGATGAGTTCCGTCTTTCAGGGAATGAGAAAGGCGACGACGAGGTTATCGTCAAGCTGTTGACCTCGTTGTCGTGGGAATACGACGATGCGATTCCGGTGCTGAAAGAGTTCATGGATCTGCCGGATATGACTCTTAAAGATCTTCTTGATGTTCTTGATCTGTTTGGAGACCGTCCGTATTGTATGCCCAAAATGTTGAAGGATTTCTATATAAGTATCAAGAAAGCCAAGTCTGAGCAGCTGTGGTGTGGACTGTGCAAGAAGTACGATCACAAGCAAGAAGACTGTTACTACAATCCAATGGCAAGGAGCTCGAGTGGAGCCAGGCAAAGGAATCAGCAACAGGCACAGGCAGCGGCAAAAGATCAGATGAACCGGGAGCCTGTAGATTTGATGTTAGCGGTAACAGTGGGTGGAGTCACTTTCGATGAGGATATGTGGATGATATACACCAACACCTCGAATCACATGACTCCTTATGCGAAGCTTTTCACGAATCTAGACAGAAGTTACAGGGGTCGAGTTTTGTTGGCGGACGGCAAGGTTATCTCGGCGGAAGGGAAAGGTGATGTGATTGTCGTGATGAAGGGAGTGAAGAAGACGATCAAGGATGTGCTTTTTGTTCCTCGGATCAACAGCAATGTGTTGAGTGTTGGTCAGATGACATCGGGAGGGTACACGGTGACAATGGGAGCTGGTGGATGCACTATTAAGGACGAGACTGGGAAAGTTTTTGCTGAAACCGTGTGGGAAGAGAGAGGCATTGTTCTGCGTTTGCAGGTGATTGATGGTAATCGTCTCTCCTCTTAAGGAGTTAGCTGCTATTTCACTTACTAGGCTTACTCGTATGGAGATGGACATATCAGTTTTTAGTTTTAGTTTGGTTCTTCAGTTTTCAGTTTTTTAGTCTTATGAAAAACTTGTTCGTATCCTGCTACTGCAGCATGAGTTAGTCTTGATCATATAACCTAGAACGATTTGGTTTTAATCTTGTTTTCGAAAACTATTTTGTATCCACTACGCAATGCTTTTATCAAGTGGTTATATTGAAAAGGAGACGAAATCTAGTAGAAAAGTATTTAAATTGATCAATATTTGATTACAGACCAGATTTGAGAAAATTTACCAAAATAGAGAAAGAGAGAGAGACATGATGAAAGGTGGATTGCTGAATCAGTAGCGGCAGATCTTGGCCGTTGGCATTGTGACACAAACTTGGGCGTATTTCTTCTTAGCCGCCTCTGTCCCTCGCTTGGGCTCCTCGTCCGCCATGGCTACCTTAGCCAAGGAACAAACCGCCGCAGCTGCAGCCGTGAACATGAGGTCCCTCCTCATTGTGGTGCTGCTCTGTTCCTCCTTGGCCTTGACTTCTAAGCTGGTTGCGTTGTTGTTCTCGCTCGTTGCGGCTCTGACCACCGAGAGTCTTCGTCCGCCGGTGGCTGACGGAAGCTTAGCAACGGCCGGGAGGAATGTGGCTGTCATGGTCATCGATGCCATTGCTTGATAGTTGATTGAATAATTCTACTCTCTCTCTCTCGCTCGTTAGCTCTCGGTTAAGGCTTTGTGATCTGGTGGATTGTGTTTTAAAAAGTTTGTGGTAATTTTGAGCTTGTGGAGAGGATTGAATTTGTGGAGAAAATAATCCATTTCCTTATCCATATATGATTTTGGTGCAAATGGGTTGTTGCCACGTGTCATGCTTTTATCTTTGTTGAGTTGAAGTGTAGAACCATGAGGGGTTCACAGTTCACAGTGTAGATACTTTGTTATGCAGCCCACATGCAGGTCCATGTTTTAGTCTATGAAATAATTCAAATCAAAACCTTTTATTTTTGTTATCATCAAACACATTCAAATCGTAACTGTAAGCCAGCCCAAATCAGCCCGTAATATTATCATTTGCAATGTGTTTTTCTAATTTTAGATCTCAAATAAAAACTTACATTTTTTATTTTTTCAAATAGCCTATCGTTATTGTACTAGTAGTACTATGAAGTCATGAAAAAAAATATTTAGTTAATGAGAGTATAAATATATATATTCGAATTTCGAATTAATAATGTCCAACCTTGTTTAACCGGATAAAACGTTTTGAACGCCGTTAGTCGCTCTTCTTCCGCTGCGTTCACTCTCTCAGTTTCTGTTTCCTTCATCCTCGCGATCAATTAATTCTTCCGAATTCAAGCTTCTTCGATTTTCCTCCAATAACCAAAACCTTCTTTCGCATTCCTTCTCTAATTTTTCTTTCTAAACGTGATTCTTCTCCCCTTTCGAAGGTTTGCGTCGATCTCAAAGTACATCGCCTTCGGAGGAATCAAGCAAAGAGATGTTAATAAACCTAATTCCTCCAGTTCCATTGTGATTCACGGCTCCGAGAAAACTCTATCTGGATTAATTGGATATAATCGCTAAGTTTTCGTTGCGTCGAGTTGATCTCTGCGTCGTGAAAACCCTAATTTCGTGGACCTGTGAAGTCGTCACTCAGTCTACACTCCCCCTCAGAACCACCGGCCGTGTTGAAGACAAAACAAGAGAACAATGAATGCTCCGATAATAGGTAAGCTCGATTTCCAGTTTCCGCTTCCTTTTCTCTGTGTTATTCAACACTAGTGACTAATTCATTCATTCATTCACTTTCTGGGGTAGATCCATTGCAAGGAGATTTTCCGGAGGTAATAGAAGAATATTTGGAGCATGGGGTCATCAAATGTGTTGCTTTTAACCACCGTGGTTCTCTTCTCGCAGGTAAATCCTTCCCAATTGCATCTCCTGTTTCTTCTTTCTTCTCCCTTTTTAGCCTGCGATCTCTCGTTATCTATGAATTTGGTTACTTTAGGCTATATTCCTCATGTATGCACACATTGATGTATCTTGCAATTGTTTATCTGTTAGCTGGATGTGCGGATGGGGGCTGTGTGATCTGGGATTTTGAAACTCGGGGCATTGCTAAAGAGATTCGCGATAACGATTGTTCCGCTGCAATCACAAGCGTCTCCTGGTCAAAGTATGGTCACCGCCTGCTCGTGTCAGCTGCAGACAAGTCGTTGACTCTCTGGGATGTCCCGAGCGGTGAAAAGATTGCTCGGACGATTCTTCAGCAGACTCCGTTGCACGCTCGCCTAAACCCTGGCTTAACCTCGCCGTCTCTTTGTCTGGCGTGCCCGCTCTCCTCTGCTCCGATGATAGTTGACTTTGACATTGGCTGTACAACTTTGCTTCCAGTGTCTGTGCCTGAGATGCCTGATGTATTAGCTCCTCCGCAGCGCAGCAAGTGTCCAGAATCAGGTCCTCCTTTCTCTCCAGCTGCAGCGTGCTTTAATAAGTGTGGGGATCTCGTTTACGTAGGGAATGCCAAAGGAGAAATACTTGTAGTAGATTACAAAAGTGTTCGTGTTCTCGCTTTGGTTCCTGTGTTTGGCGGGTCTCCAGTGAAAAACATAGTGTTTAGCAGGAACGGGCAGTATCTTCTCACGAATTCACACGATCGCACCATTAGGATATATGAGAATCTCCTCCCAGCGAAAAACGTGCTTAGATCCCTTGAGGAGTTGGGGAAGAACGTAGACGGGGTTGATGGTGCTGAGAAGATGAAGAATGTTGGATCAAAATGCTTGACGCTCTTCAGGGAGTTCCAGGATTCAGTTACCAAAATGCATTGGAAAGCGCCTTGTTTCAGTGGTGATGGTGAGTGGGTTGTTGGTGGTTCTGCGTGCAAAGGAGAACATAAGATCTATATATGGGATCGGGCGGGGCATCTTGTGAAAATATTAGAAGGTCCAAAAGAAGCGTTGATTGATCTAGCTTGGCATCCTGTTCATCCTTTAATCGTCTCTGTTTCATTGGCTGGTCTAGTATACATTTGGGCAAAAGATTACACGGAGAACTGGAGCGCTTTTGCTCCTGATTTCAAGGAGCTAGAGGAGAATGAAGAGTATGTGGAACGAGAAGATGAGTTTGATTTGATACCTGAAACAGAAAAGGTGAGACATTAATTAGATAGATGCGTAAGGATTCTCTATTATCATTTTATGTCACATGTTTTTTTTTTTCTGAATATATGTGGTTTGTATGCGTGTAGGTGAAAGTCTTGGGTGTTAATGAAGATGAAGATGTTGACATAGAGACAGTGGAAAATGATGCTTTCAGTGATTCAGATATATCAGTGGATGAACTCCGCTACCTTCCAGCTGAACCGATCCCAGACACAAATGAGCAGCAAGACAATATAAAGTTGATCGAAGCTCATATATCTGCATCTCCTGCTTCTGAGGAGCCTGGTCAGAATGGACATGTGGCAGACCATGCATCAAGTCCACATGGAGGTAACAAAAATTCGTAACAGCTTCATATGAAAAACATAATTTACGAATTCCTACGTGAGAATATATTCAATCGGAAAATGCATGATGTCTGTGATTAGTATTGTGGATAGATTTATGAATCTATGATTTGTAATGCCAAATATTTGGATGCGTTCTTTACGATAATGCATTTGGCTCTCTATTGTAGAGGAAATGGGTGAGACGCTGGGAAAGAGAAAAAGGAAACCATCTGAGAAAGGCATGGAGCTGCAGGCGGAGAAGGCAAAGCCATTGAAAGCGCCAAACAAAACAGTACGAGCGAAAACCAGAGTAGTAGTCGATCAAGAATTCGATGACAGTGTAAATGGTGTTGATGATGATGCATCTTATTATTGATGGTAAGTCTACTAATCTTTATGTATGCAAAAGGTTTTCAAAAAAGACTGCAGCAAGCTATAGGACATGGAATTGAGTTTGATTTGAATATTTTGGTTGCAGCCTTGCAGGCAGTGATGTGTGTTCTTCTCTACCACGACACAGCTGTGGTCTGAATCAAGTTGGATTATGCAAACTAGGAATTTATGTAGTCAGGATCCTAAATGTTGAGCAGTTGTTAAAGACAAGGAAAAACATATTTGATTCATTTAACTTTGAAGTGATCGTCATCATCAACAGAAATTATTGATCATAGCAGCTACATACTACTACTACATTTCCTTTACACGCAACAAATGGATGCAACCAGATTCTCTCTAGCGGAACCCATCACTTTATCTTCTATAATGCATACAAATAGATATTTAGATAGATGGACGTCAGGACTATCTGTATACGGTTTAAGAAGGAATAAGTGAGAAATTGAATTTGTTCAAGAGTCACGGAGGGCCGTCGGAAGATTGAGTCTTTCTTAGGTTCCAGTGAAGACCGTCGTGGATGCTACGTAGAAAGTCATTAGTTGATTCGACCTGGCAAGCCGTAGAGACAGGCCAAGGTGCCATGCTACAGACTAGTGCATCCCCTGCTTCAAGCTGTTTCCGACCTTTCCCATCAAACGAAACCCACGCAGAGCTTCTGCTGTTGAACGGCACCTGCACTCTCACCGTCACGTGGTCCGGTAATATCAGTGGCCGGAAAGACAGAGAATGCGGACAGATGGGTGTGAACAAGATCCCCGGAACCTGCAAAACATTCCTAACTTTAGAATATGTTTGTCCATAATCTGAAAATCGCTAAACTCACTGAACCAACATTTGCTTATTATTTACCTGTGGATGGACCATTGAGCCACCAGCTGCAAGTGAGTACGCGGTGCTACCAGATGTTGTAGAGAGTATAAGTCCGTCGCCTTGCACACACGTGACAAATGAGTTGTCGCAGTAGCATTCAAGGTTTGTGAGGTAAGAAGATATTCCACGGTCGATGGTGACTTCGTTCAGAACAAGCATAGTCTCCTCTGTCTCGTAGTCATGCCTTGCTTTGTCTCTGATGATGTGACACTGCAACCTGTGTCGTAGTGTTATACTTATTGGACCTCTCAGAACCGCTTCAAGACATTCTCTGTACTGTTCGCTGTCTGTGTGATCAGAGTTAAAGAAAAGTTTCTAGTAACAGATAAATGCTAATTTAAGCGATGATGCTTATATAGTAACTGTGTTAAAAGGAGAAAAGATGAAGGATACGGAAAGGAGTCATGAATCCAAGAGATCCCATGGAGAATGGAACAATCGGTGGCACTGGTCCTTTGAACATCGATGCTGCCCATAGAACTGTACCATCTCCACCAAGAGTTATTACAAGGTCAACCTTTGGGTGTAGAAGTGAAATCTCTTTGTCTGTGGCATAAACAAATGATCAATTAGTAAAAATGAAGCTTTTAAAACTCGTTTTTTCGCAATCACACAGAATAGTATTGAGCCGTGGGATCCAGAGAACAATCTGAAGAGACTACGGATATTATATCTTACCATCTTCCCAAGTTTGTACAAAGTCGAAGGAACTTGACTCTGATAAAAGTTCTGCCTTTACTCGTGGCTCAACGTAAACATTTAGTCCTTTATGCTCTCTCAACCATCTGAAGTGGAAAGAAAATTAAAATATGATATTACTTCATCTTAATCAACAGTTTTCTACTTTCCAACAAAACTTCACAGAGAATTACTGAAACTAATCCTATGGTTTGGGTAATAAAATTTTAACTATCAAGTTAATATATCTTTCTGAAAGAGTTAAGTGACTATAAATACTGACCTGACCATCTCCACAGAAAGAACTCGTACAGAAGTCGAATTAGGTTTAGTGAAAATAATCACATTTTGTGGATTGGTCTCCCATGTCAGTGAAATCTGTAATTACAAAGTTGTTTAGGTTTACTCTACATACTGTACACAAGGAATAGAGAACAAAAAGCTATTTAAGGATAGAGACGATGAAACAATATGTAGTCCTTACCTGTTTGCTACTGCGGTCTGCTGTAGTGATATTCCCTCTCTCAAAAGAGACAATTTCTTTCTTGTGTTGATCATTAGCTTGCCCCTTGCATCCCCATGAAAGTTTAAATGATGCCTGCAACCACGTTAAACAGATTCTTAGTTCTTCACTCTCTACTTATTGCGCCTGTACTATTGCAGAAAGTTTTAGATGCAACAGTATTGGGATGCAGCAAAATGTGAGGATACTTAATGCGCAAAGTCCAACAATGTCTTAAACACAAGATTAGCTACAGAGGATACAACTATATGTTACCTTTCTCTTCAATTTGTTGTTAGGACTGTTAGATTCACCATCTTGGAGCACTTCATGAGAGCAAATACGCTCCATGGAGTACCTTCCCAGCTTCCCATTGTCCTGAACGTGAAGCCGAGGAGACTTGGCTAAATGATCCATCCCTTGGCTATTGGATTCATCAACGCAGACTCCATTTGAAGTAAATGGAGAACCTTTATGAAGCAACTCAAGGTTCTTGGACCTCTCCAGCTCATATCTCCGCTTCCATTCAGCAGCCTCGGCTTGAGCCAACGCTTTTCCTTCAGCAGATCCCCTTAGAGCCTTTGCAACAGCTACAAACAAATATGCAAAGATACACTTAATAAAGGAAAGACAAAAGAAAAAGTTACAAAGCATGAAGCTTTTTGCTTCTTACTTACTTCTCATAGCCTCTGAAAACTCAATCAGATGGTCGTCTGTTGCCTGCATAGGAGTCTGTTGCATAAGAAGCTCTTGAACAGCTTTCTCTGATTGAGCAAGTGAAGACAGATCACTGAAACCATTTTCAGGGTTTGAGCGCAAACCGTTTGCATCTCCGTTTCCATACGAATCCTGTCAATAAATCCAATTAGTTACAAAAAAAAAATGTTCTGATTCAGAAGCATAAGCTTTTAAGATAGACATAGCAAACGTAATCAGGAACCAAAATAATCAAGAAAAATTCTCTCTGGCATTCTCAATTGCGAATCAATTTCAATAAACGATCATAAAATCCCCCAAAGAGAGTTTTTTCCCAGCTCAACAATTTAGCTTAAAAAACCCAAATTGGAGACGAGGAATGAAAATTTGGCAGAACAAATAGAGTGACTAAAACAGGGAGGAGAAGAAGGAGAGATCGAAGTACAGTGTAATTGAGCTTGAGGGTCGACATTGAATCCTATGATCGATGACAAGAGAGAGAGATCAAAGAACGTGACACGACGAAGAAGAAGCTAATGGATTTCTTGTCAAGACGGCAGATTCATATTTATATAGAGAAAAATCGGCAAGGCAGAGTCGTAAGCATACAGCTTTTTTTTTGTGAAACAGTAATTTGCTTTAAAGTTAACGACCGGATCACATATTTGACTATATATAAATCAGAGACAACAACAACAACTACCAAAAGAGAGAGTATTATGAAAAGAAAAAAAGAATCTCAGATTCTCTTTTTGCCTTTGTTACATTTTTCTAACAACTTGAAAAAATTAAGCCTGTTTACCATTCTGGATTAGAGTATTTGATTCAAATGTTGGTTGTTGTCAAAAAAAAAAGAAAATAGATTGAATGTTGGTTAAGTGCATCCGGTTTACTCACTGTAAAACTAGAATTCTCCGTATATAATAAAGAGACTCCTTTGTAACATTGAACCAACATTCTATCAAATACTTTAATAACAAAAGACCAACTACAACGTATTATCGGTGATTAAGGCATGATCGCTGCAGCTGCTAATCCTTGTCTCCTTGACCTCTTGGTATGGTCATATAGTTTATGCCATACGTCACATCTATATATATAAAAAACATGCGTATAACATCTAACCCGTCCCATCCGTAGGAACGTAACTAATGCATCATATGTTGTGGTTTAAATGCATTTAATGGAAAGTATCATGCTTTATGTAAACTAGATGTTAGACCTGGGCGTCCGCACAGATATATGATTCTTTAAGTAAATTTTATAAATGTTTAAATTATGTAGTATAAGAAGATTTATTATATATTATGTTATAAGATAGTCTGTTTTCTGATACATATGTATTATGGTTTTATTTCGAGAGAATGAATAATCTGTTTTTCATTTGTCTTTTTTTCTTGCTAACAGAAAAGCTAATTGTCTTGTTGATAGATTAGATAACTCTGCTTTTTCCTTTCTTCTAGGTGTCTAGTTTTTAGATTCGGTTTCACCTACTTTAGTTTCAATTTTCAGTTACGATATGTCTCCCCCACCCCCTCCTACAAAAAAAACTATAGTTATATTAAATTAAAATTATTTATTTATGTGTTATGAGGATTAAAATTAAATTTTGTAAATACAAAAATATAAATTTGAAAATAAGATAATATAAGTTACGTGCAACTAAATCAATATAGTATACACACAAGTTGTTATTGTAAAATATGATAATATGTTATTGGTTTTACATGAAATTTATGTTTTTTAATATTGTATTTAGTTTTTCTTCTTCTCCTTCTCCCTTCCCATTCTTTCTTCTTCATTTCTATTATTTGTTTCTTTTTAAACAGAAAGAGAAAAAAAAATTGTTGGGATCGGTCTCCGCTTATAGTTGTTTTCCAAACCCAACTTTTATATTTAAAGATATAATATATTACTGATTTTATATATAACTTGTGTTCTTATGTTGTAGTCGGTTTTTTACAGGTTTGAATATCTAGTTGTAATTTTGTTAACCACAATATTATTTTTATTTAAAAATATTAATCTCGAATCATCGGTTTGGTATATCTTGTTGGTTTGGTCCACCTATCTGAGACATGAATGGTTTAATCCGTCTTTATCGATCCAACTTGTTGTTTCTGCTTGGCGGTTCACCAGTTCAGCTCAGTGGTTTGCCAGCTCACCTTGTCAGTTTGGCTTATCACCTCTTCGATTTGGCTAGACTCATTTCCATTACTAACCTTTTCTTTGTTGATTTCGTCATAGTGGAGACCGACCCCAACAATTCTTTCTTCTTTTTCTGTTTCTCCTGCTTCTTCTTCTTAATCACTTCTTCTTCATCTTTTCTTCTTCTCTCTCTTCATTTGTTTTTGTTCTTCTCCTTCTCCTTTTTATCCTTTATTTTTCTTTTTTTCCTTTCCCTTTTTCCTTTCTTTTTCTCCGTTTTTCTCCTTCTTTCTTTTTTTAGATTACCATGAAGTTCTGGGCCGAAACCTGCAATCTCTGCAGGCCCGAAACCACATCATGTAATATTAGTTTAATACCAAGAGTCACTCGATCATGTGATTTATAAACTTTGCCTAGATCATTTACCAGTCGAGCTAACGACTCTTGGTTACTCCTTCGTCTTCTCCTTCATCCCTTCTTCTTCTTCTTTTTCATCTTTTCTTCTCATTTTTCTCCTTCGTTGTTCTTCCTCTCTCTCCTTCTTTTTCATCTTCTATGTATCAATATTCTTCTTCATCCATTATTCTCCTTATTATCCTTCGTCTTCTTCGTCTTCATCCATTCTCTTTCTTCTCCATTCTCCTTCCGTTTTTTCATCTTCTTTATTGGTCTTATTCGTCATCATTTCTCCTTCTTATTCATTTTTCTTCTTTTTCATCCTTTCTTATTATCCTTTCTTTTCATTCTTCTTCTTTATCACTTATTCTCCTTCTTCTCATGTTCTTCTCTTTTTTTTTTTCTCTTTTCTTCTTCTTTTTCATCTACTCTTCTTCTCATCCATCACTTCTCTTTATTCTCCTCCTTCTTCTTCTCCTTCTTATTTGTTCTTCTTCTTCTTTGTCAAACAAAAAATGATAAATTAAAAACTAAAAAAATTAAAAATAATCACCATATACATAGTAAACAAACTGAAACAAAATATTAACATATAAAAAATTAATTTCGACTAAAAAATATTGATGTTTGCAAAAATATTTTTTTTTTGAAAATCTAAATAGAGAAAACAATTAGCCAAAATAAATTAGAAAAAATGAGATAATGTGAGTTACTGTTTTTATTTCCCTTATAGTTTATTGAAAAAATATTATAATAAATACTTTTATTTTGTTAATTGTAAATTATGAAAATCTTTTATTAATTTACTAACTTATTATTAATATGTTTTTACATCTACAATAAAAATTTATCAATATTTTTGTAATATTTTTGAAAATATGCTAGAATACATATTTTTTAGAATATGCTTTAAATTTATGCAGTTACTGTTTCTTAATTCAAAAATATTTTAATTTTCTTTGAAAAGCTTGCTCCATAATTTTAGTAATCGAATATTAATAAAATATTACAAAATCGATTCATTAGATGTTTTATAGAACTAAATATAATTTAAATAAAATTATATGGTTATTATCTTTTACTGTTAATTAACCATGGTTTTTTAAAAACATTTGAACAGGTTGCTTTTAAATTTGAAATTAATCTAATCAAAATTTAATTTAATATTAGATTGCACTAAACATATAACAAATAATATATAATTAGTCATAAAAATAGGTTTTAGTTTATTTTCCTACAAACATATGTGTTTGGTTATATTATTGCATAATAATAAACATATGATTTTTTTGTAATAATTCTTCTGCAATATGTTTTATATTATGTAAGTGTATAATTTAATTATATATATTTATATTAATTATAATTGTTATTTTCTTATATTGTTACATAATAATAAAGATTTGAAAAATATTATTTGTTATTTTTTGCAAAATGTTTTAAATTGTATAAATATTTACAATTTAATCTCATATGTATAGTAATTATAATTGTCATTTTTATATAAAGTTGGTTGTAATTAATTCTATGATTAATTAAAATTTTCGAAATAACTATTTATGAGAAATTCGAAATTAATTAAATGTGTTTGGTAATTGGAGTTAAACTAATCTAAAGAATATTTGAAAATTAATGTGTTTGAATATTAGAATTAAATAAAGAAAAAAGAAAATGAATATTAATTGGTTGAATTAACAATTGACTAAACTGCCATTAATGAAATTCTAAAGAATAGGTTAAAATGCAATGGCATTTCATGTAATATAACACATGAAATGTGTTTAAACATTGAAGTGATCCTTGATTAATAGTATGGATGATTAGTGACAGAAGATATAAGGGGTTCAAGCATCCTGGAATTATTATAAAAAATGTTTTTTTTTTTCTGGTGTGTCTTCGATATTTTTGGAAATATGGTACCACTCGAACCGCTCTTATCGAATGGGACATGATTGGGATTTGGGACCATTAGCTTCTTCATGGCCGGAAAACTTGGTCAACCGCCCAGACTTGCCTAATGCTGGTTTGTTCATCTATGTCTCATATCTTGATTAGTTGTCAGAAACTGGTCACATCCTTATAATGATATTCGTCTTTTAGTAATAGAGATTTTAAATATATAATCGTACGTTTTGTTTAAGAAACAATTAATAAATCAATACAACAATAACACTCAAGTCTCTCCATAAGTTGACACATCAGATTTTTTAATCTTTGAAAAGCTGACACCTCAGCTAATTTATAAACCAATCAAATTAAAACATTAATACAACTCATCTACTTATTTTAATTTTAAAATTCAAACCCATTAAAAATCCAAATACATTTTTTGTTAATAATTTGTTTTATTTTTAAAAAATCAAAGCCCAAATATTAAACAACATCAAATAAAAAAAATATTTGTTTTATTTTTTGTCAAATCCAAGCTCAAATAATAAATAACAGCAAATAAAAAAAATCTTTGTTTTATTTTTTGCCAAACCCAAACCCAAATAACAATTAACAGCAAATAAATAATTTTTTTTTTAGCTATTTGTTTTTTCAACAGAGACATACTATATGATTGAAAAAGTGTAGGTTCATCATTAACTATGGTTCCATAACAACAA